CCATGATTGATTTTGATTTGTATCAATAAAAACTTTGTCTTCTATTTTTAGAAAGAATTAGCAACTCTGATACAAAATGATGAAAAAAGAAACCAAAAATTCAGGACAAATATTACCTTGGGAGAGGAGAAAACTCTGATACGAGGGTCTCGGTCACTAGAGTGAGACCACGTAATATAAATACGCTTCCGGCACCTTTCCATAACGTTCCAAATCCCTGAAATGTTATTACACTTTAAGAATATCGTAGACTTGCTTATTTAAATGTTTCATAAAAGTTTTTCTATACAGAGTAAAATTGATTTTTCAACTTAGTGGGCGATACTGAATGAAAAATATTTCTTTTCATTTCTCCACATTGTAATTTATATTTCTGAGATCAGCATTAAAAACTACATTCGAAAATATGTATTTCTTTCTATTTGAATGTGGTACATGAACCAGAAAAGATCCTCACCATACCTTTATCAGGCTAGGAATCATGTTAAACATGGTGTATGAACCAGAAAAGATTCTCACCTTTATCAGGAGGAATTATGTTGAACATGGTACATGATCCAGAAAAGATCCTCACTATACCTTCATCAGGCTAGGAATCATGTTGAACATGGTGCATGAACCAGAAAAGATCCTCACTATACCTTTATCAGGCTAGGAATCATGTTGAACATGGTGTATGAACCAGAAAAGATCCTCACCTTTATCAGGCTAGGAATCATGTTGAACATGGTGCATGAACCAGAAAATATCCTCACCTTTATCAGGCTAGGAATCATGTTGAACATAATGCATGAACCAGAAAATATCCTCACCTTTATCAGGCTAGGAATCATGATTTTTGAGCTATTTTCAAAGCTAAGCTTCATTAGTAATTGTTTGGACCACGTAATGTGACATCATAAAAGAATAGCAACAAAAGCGATGATAGTTTCTTAGCAAACATAAACCTATACTTTGGAATTAATATCAATTTTTATTAAAACGAATAAGTGCACCATTTACAGGCAACCTCCTCATAGCTGTGCAGAAATGAAAGTTGGATTTTGTTTTTCATTGTGGATCATACTAAATAAATATTATATGATAAGAAAAATAGTGATTCTGAAATATCCGAGTCAAAAATTGTTGAAATATAGTAGGAATTATTATTTTTACTTAAATTTCGAAATCTGATATGTAAGTGAAAGTGCTCATTGGGCACGACAAGGTTCAGACGTCCAAGAAAATACAAGTAATACTTAAAATTTCAAATGTTACTGAAAGGCATTCTAAAACATTAGAATAAGAAAAATCTGTAAAAACACATACAAAAAAAAACATCAACCAAAAACTGAAAAAGTCAAAATGCCTTAAAAACTCACCTGTCTTCTCTGTAGTTTAAGAATTACAGGAAACAAAGTAAACGGTGTCAGATGAAATCGGTGAGATTTGTGGTGAACCTTCAAAAGAATAAAGACAGTCAGTTTTATGACTCTACACAGTTTAAGAACACACTGTAATAAAATATAACTGGTTGATATTACAATTACTAGACAAACTCACCCTGTACAATATTTATCTGTAAACTCCCTCTGTCCATATAACCTACAATCAAGAATTAATTTGTGCCAAATTTGGTATCTTTTTGCCTAATAAGTGAGAGTTATCCAGTTTACAGATGAAACATAAAAATTGGCAAGGTATGAAACCCAAATCTACAAGCATGTGAGAACAAGACTAATTTAATGTAAATAAAGATCAGTACATTGGATCTATAAACACAAATACTGTCCTTGTTCCTTAATCGTAAGATCTGAGATCGTTTCTAACAAACTAGCGCCTACCTAAAATATCTGTATAACTATTTCAGTTGAACATAATCGGACAATGTGAGATTGACAAGGACACTTGAATGTGTTGAAAGCAGTTTCTTCAATATCAAGATTTCTATACATTCACGTGTCCTTGTCAGTGTCACATTGTCCGATTATGATAGCAATCTTGATATTAAAGAAACTGGTTTCGACACATTCACGTGTCCTTGTCAGTGTCACATTGTCCGATTATGATAGAAATCTTGATATTAAAGAAACTGGTTTCGACACATTCAGTGTCACATTGTCCGATTATGATAGAAATCTTGATATTGAAGAAACTGATAGAAATCTTGATATTGAAGAAACTGGTTTTGACACATTCACGTGTCCTTGTCAGTGTCACATTGTCCGATTATGATAGCAATCTTGATATTAAAGAAACTGGTTTCGACACATTCACGTGTCCTTGTCAGTGTCACATTGTCCGATTATGATAGCAATTTTGATATTAAAGAAACTGGTTTCGACCCAGTTTCTTCAATATCAAGATTTCTATCAGTTTCTTCCACTAAATGTGTTTTTTGTTCTCATACAGTTTTAATAAAAATGTATAATATTTACTTTTTAATTATGTGTACAAATAATGATAAATGCTTTTCTGTTTCATTATAAAACAAAATTTGTATGATATTTAGCCTTATTTAAACTCTTTAATCATTTCACTATAAACTAAATAAATGAAAATTTTTACTTAACAACAATAATTAGTATGGTATTGAGGATTGAGTAAACTGGTGAAGTGTACGTAACATTTTACTGTGCTGGTTGAGGAAACAAGTAACTGTGCACTAAAATGTTATCACAATGATTCCAATCCCAGATCCTGTTTTGATGTTTCTATCACCAAAAGATTTTTCGGGAATTCGTACAACTTTTCAACTTCAAGGTGTCAATTATGATTAAATTGAAGATCTCAATATGGAAAATCAAGTTTTGTCTGTTTTAACTAATATATTTGGGATGAAGTTAGAAGAAACTTCTATCTCCACTTTCTTACAACCTTCAGTTTTCTGGATCTGTTATGAACAATGATATTTTTATGGTTTTGAAAGATTCAAATTGTATAGACAGTTTTCTTTCACTACTTGTTGCTCCAAACAGACTTTTCTCACAGAGAAAAATGTGTTAAAATCTTAATTTACTTCACAAAATAAGCAACCTTTTAATGAGGTAAATAAAACTTTAGAAACTGAATTACAGGTCAACGAAATAAACAAGAGGAACTTTGAAAATCTGCCCCTTTACTGTGTATCATCATACATTCTTAAACGTTTACATGCTATCCAAAAAATGTGATCAACAACTGTTGAAAAAGTGTGATATGGACTTAAATGTAAAATTTACTTTCTTTACAGCAAAAATAAACAAAATTAGGCCAGCTTCTGTCAAGAAACTTTGTTTATAATAGTACATCAGGATGAACAGATGAAATTAAACTTAAAGAGTGGAAAAACATAAACAAGACTATGTGGTCTTATCAAAGAGTTCTGGTAGTAGTAGTAGTAACTTTTATCATACACTTACAACTGTCTGAATATCTCTGACAGAGGTGTGGATTTCATACCAACCAACACCCAGGACAATAAGTTTTATTGTTACACTGTTGGTTCTGTTGCTAGAAAAACACTAGGTAGATTTCCTGAAAATTCTGAACTGTAGATGTATAGAATATACAGACATTTAAAAACTGTTTCTGATTTCATGCAAAGCTACACAAAGTGGTAGGCTAGAGAGAAGGCAATGCCATCTACCACCCATTCTTGGGCTACTCTGGTCACACCAAATAATGGTATTTGACTATCACTCTTATAATGCATCCAGAGTCCCAAATTGTGAAGCATGATATTTGTTTTTGTAGTAATGGGACTCAAACCATGGAGCCTCAGCTTCTCAGTCCAGAACACTAACCACTATTCCATGCCTGGTCAAACATTTAAAAATCACACCTCTAAAACCATAACCATATACAAACCCTCAATCACACACAGTAATAATTGTGTTTAAACTAATGCAACAGTATTACTAGATTTATTTTATCTATGGTAGAAGCCCAGTTAAGTTTGACTGCCAGCTCTAGGAATACTTTACAAGATAATTAAAATCTTCAAACTGATTTATATATATATATATATTAAACATCAAGTTAGTGTCTGCAGCATTCATGTAAACCATGATTTCTTCATTGGTTCATGCGTAGGTATTCTACATGCTGCAATGTAAAATCATAATGATTAAATGTTAAACACCATAATATAAATATATATGCAAAAAGTTTAGATGTAAAATGTGGTATATACCATTCTCAACAAGACTGAGCTGCCAATGCCATTGTAATAATTGTGTTCACTGTCACATAAAATCTTATTTTACTATTTCATGTGTGGGGAGTGGAAAAGTAGATTTTTAAGAAAAACAAGTAAATTTTTGAAGCATTTTATTCTTTACACAAGATGTTAGACTTTATCTTGATTTATTTATTGCAAAAATAATACATAAAGAACATTGGAATATACAGCTTCAATATACAGAGTTCAGAAAAATGACATTTTATATGTACTTAATAAAATGATTACAAAGCTTACCTGGCATTGTCTTCTTATAACTATACATGGATGAGAGATGAGACTTTCTGTAATTAGGCTATAAGAAACACAATATACGTTTTCTTTCAAAATTTTCTTGCAAAAATTAATAACAATTTAATTTTTTTCACTTAGGTGGGAAGTTTAGTTGATCAAACTCACAACATACTAAGTCACATGGCTTACATAGATTTGTTGATTGTCTAATTAAATCATGCTCGTTTTGTTCTTCATATATATTTAAGACACCTAGTAATGACTCAGTTTTACATTTTTGATATTACAAAAATTCAAACATTTATATAAAGCTGTGATAACCCTTGATTTTATATATTTAAAGTAAATTTATACAATTAAACGTTTGTTAAAAAATACAACAACAATTAACTAACCTGGCTATTCCCACTGAAAAACCAGCAAATTTTTGAGCTTGCTCTATGAAGGAATAGTACAAAAATAAGTACAAATATTGACAATAATAACATTTTTATAACAGTAGGAGAAAAAAACTACAACAAAGAAAATAATTAAATATAACATTTCTGCTGAGTGTAGAAAATCAAATTTAAAATATAAATGTTATCTAGTAAAACAACAACGATTTGGTTCTTTAATAGCCATCAGAGATTGGTGTCTGTAACTCTGGGAGCTATAAATGATGCTTAATGAAAACAATACAGATGGGACTATTATGTGATGAACAAATGAAAATTGGAAACAAAATGTACACAATAAATAGACAACATCCTCTGCTATGATAAATCAGCTACTAATGAATGAAATATGCAGAACACTTAAAATAAGATACCCTATGCAAAAATATTAACTGTTACAAAGAAGCCAAATTCAATATAACACTGAATAATATGGACAATATGAACTGAAAGGCCCATAATTTAATCTAATATTGCAGAGAAAACAGCTAAAATATACGATTTATAAAATTATGTAGTGAAAAACGTGGAAGCCAATCAATTATGCAATGTTTGTTTAATTCCTAAGTAAAGGATACATAAAATTATAAATCACAGCCTAGCCCAAATATACACACATGTATATCACAAACTAGTCTAAGACTAGAAATAGAATTAACAAAAAGGTAAAATTTATAGAAATCTGGTCTTAATTTTTGTGTAGCAATAATATTAGTTAAACTCTAGCTTCTATTCCAATGCTAGTCTATATATATATTCCCAGTACTACTACTGCACAATAATACTACAAATAATACTGGACGAAATAGAACTAGGTAGTTCAATTTGTACTAATACTAGTAAATACTATTACTAGGTAGTTGTACCTATATCTGCTTCACTTCGATCTTTTTTAGTAACAGACGACAATATTCCTACTTCAGGCTGATTCTCAGGCACATATTCTTGAACTGTTTGTGGTACTGTCTGCTGTTGACGATAATATTGATGATGACCTGATAAAAATCTCAAATCCTCGTCGATATTCATGAATTCACCATACGTAATACCAGCCATCTTCAAAATTTCAGAATATAAACCTTTCACTAGATGGCAGCAGTTTCCTTCTTCCATGTTGATTACAGTATAATAAAATAATTTCTCGTTATATATTACCCCAATTCAAGGTGGCAGCAGATTTTGTCCATTATCGAAGACATTTCAGATAAAACACAAAATGAAATTGATGATAACAATACGCATAAATCTACAAATTATTTGCCTCCTGTATTGATAGTAAGTTTTAAGATTCTAAATCACTAAAGGGTAAGTAATTTAAAACTCGATGGTCGCCTGCAGAATAAGATTTAAACATTCTACCTCTCTATTCGTGCATGTACACATACAATTGTCGTTTTCACTTAAATTACATCACAAGAAACATAAATCTGTGGATGTAAAAATTATATTACCGAAGTTTTACATTATAAAAGGGATATTCATGGTCTGTTAAAATATATTCTTTGAAATAATATTCAACGTTAAACTGGTACACAATTAGAAACATTTTATATAGGCCTATCCATGGCCTTCAAAAAGTTGACG